CCCATAAGGATATGTTTACCCTACATGTGCGTGTGTGTGTGCCTGTTTTCCTAGTGTTTTCTTGTTTTATTCCGTCTCAATCTGTCAGTAGAGTTTTTTTAGTTACAAAACATCAAACTAGGAAAAAGCAGAAGTGCTAAAATCAAGCCAATACTGAATAATACTTATCATATTATACTGCACCAAATAATACTTATAATCTTATTATATAATACAATACTAAATAATGCTTATTATATTATACTGCACTGAATAATACTTATCTTTTTATATTATACAGTACTGAATAATATTTATAATACTTATATATTGTACTGAATAAGACTTATTCTAGCATCTCTGTAGCACTGTTTCTGTTTTTTGTAGTTTTATTTGAAAGTGAGCCAAAAGAAATTCTGAATTAACTTCCTATGTGATTTTTATTTTTTTCCATTTGCTCAGCAGTTTTTTTTTTTAATTTTAACTAGACAATCTAGCCAAAATACTTGGTTCCAGAACAAGCTGAATTAAAGCCATTGAACTCCCTTGAAAAAATTAACTGACTTATAATGAACCTTTAGGGGTTTTCATTAGTACACATTGTCATTATTTCCCCCAGGATATGCAAATCAGAAGGCCATTTGTCTTCCGATACTTACAGCAACATGTCCACCCTGCTCATTTTCATATGAAAAGAGGCAGTTTTTACATAATCTACTATATGAACTCAGTGGTCATACTCAGCAATTTTGGTGAATCTGTGGCCTAGACATTTACACGCAGTTTCCTGTAAGCAGCAGTGTGCAACCAGCCTTTTTTAGCTGTTAAGAAATAAACACACCTCTGTGTGTGCAAGGCATGCACAGACACGCGTGTGTGAGGCATACACAGACACGCGTGTGTGAGGCATACACAGACACGCGTGTGCGAGGCATACACAGACACGCGTGTGCGAGGCATACACAGACACGCGTGTGCGAGGTATACACAGACACGCGTCCACACAAACCCTTGGACTTACTTCTGTTGATCTGTAATTATTCCTCTCCTCCCCCACCCATTGTTCATGAGCTTCTTCACAGTCACCCTATGATCAGCCTCTTGCCTTAACATGGCTGAGTGTGTGTGTGTCTGTCTGTTGGTGGTGGGGGGTGGGGGGGTTATCACTTGCTGTCCATATAAGGATATGTTTCCTTTTTGTCTCTGTTTCTCCAGTACTATCATTGTGGGCTTTCTTTGACATATTGATGTCCAAACCTACAGAATATACAGCCTGCACTCAAAATGGAAGGCTAGACACACTGTCTTATAGACACTGATGTGGGTTTGGGTTTGCAGGACCCTATCAGTGGTGCTAGTGCTTGAAAGGAAGCCTTACTCACAGCCTGTAGCCTGATGAAAGCTCTGATTTATGGGCCTGCAATAAATGCCACGTTCCCAATCTTCAGATTAACGTAGTGGCAGCTGGGTGGTGAGCAATAACATCCTAGTGCTCGTCAACCCATTTGCGGAAGAATTGTGGAGCTTTGGAATAGAACATGTGGGCAGAACTGTTACATTTTTAGATACGGATCTTTCCAAGTTTTTGTAAAATGTGGACTGTCTGGCACGGAACTGGGAGGGAGCAAAGATGTGGACCATCTGGCACGGAACTGGGAGGGTGCAAAAATGTGAAATCGTCTGGCAGGGAGCTAGGAGAGAGCAAAAATGTGGCCCAGAGGAGTATAAATTTAGCAGAGGCTTCAAATTAAATGCAAAGGGCTGCCTTTATGGGTGACTGGATGATTAATTTCACACTTCATATGTGGCCCCTATGAGTAAATATAGTATATTACTACATACTGTACATATTTGGTTGAGGGGAAGGTATAAAATGCCTCCCTCTGTGAAACCAGCTGCTTTGCACCTCTTGGCTCAGTCTTGTCTCTGCCTGCTGCCCTATTTAGAACATAGCATCTGTGCAGATCCGATCCCTTATCCCCAGATGACTGGCCATGGCGCCACTCTGACCCCCCCGCCTCCACCACCCCAGCCCCCTTCCCCTTCGTTGACTTGTCTTAATGATATCACTCTTCTGCCCTGCCTTGCCTCCAGAGCAGGGCCATTAGTACCCTTTAATTTAATCTGTGACCATTCATTATTTACTATCATCCATTTCTGTCTCTTTGGGAGTGAGCTTCCAAGAAATTCTGACTTGTTAACCTTATACTGGGTATATATAGGATGTAGATGTACTCAGTATTGGTCTGTCAGTTTCTCAGTCATTAGTGTAATAGGGGCCTGTCCACACACTTTACTGTAGTAGCAGTAGAGATGGTTGGACCAGTGACCCATGGATAGTCTCCTGGGACAAGCGGGACTTGGGGAGTCACGTGTCCATATGTGCCATCTGCACAAGCCTAGATTTTATTACCTGCCTATTTATCCTATACAATAGACCCATTTCCACAACTACTATATGCAATATCGGGGATAGAGGGTTAGATTGAATGAGAATGCAGAGCTGAATGAGATGTGAATAAAGCAATGTTTGCCTGATTAATGCACAAGAGGCAGACTAGTACTCCTAATAGTAGCAATAATCCTAAAATAACTCAGTGAGTTCAAACAGTGACTTAACATCGATCCCTGAACAGCACAGGTGATTCGTATAATGCAATACTAAGAAACCTACCTTACTTAAAAAATGGTTTGTTGAAACATATATACAGTGGTACCTCAGTTCTCGAACTCATTAGAACTCGAATTTTTTAAAAGTCTAACCAACCAGTTTGAAAAAAAAAATTACCTAGAGCTCAATCTAAATCCCAGAAGTCAAACCGTGAACGCCGACCTAAGATAACTTGTATGCGCGGGGAAATGAGTCACGCGGCACATCTCTCAGCGGAAACAAAGGATAAAGCTTCAGTCTCAGCCTCGCATTCGCTGTATCGTGCATGTTTACACTAGCTGAATACACATATTTAGACAGTAAAAATACATTTAAACAATGATAGACAGTAACAGTAATTATTATTATATAATAAAATACATTAAAAAAGAAAGATTTATTATTCATTATTTTAATATTAATAATAAACCATTAATACATTTAATTATAATTGTATTGTCGTGCCGAGCTGGAACAGAACGGAGACAAAGGCACAGACGTCAGGGTATCGGGGAATACGGGGTTTAATTACAGGTAAGGCAGGCAAAACGCAGATGGACAATACAATGACTGGACTAGGGAAACAAACTGAAACGCGGAGGAAATACAGAGGGCTAATGACAACAACCAGAAACAGCTGATCACATGGGGATTCCACGCGGGGTTAAAGAGGGGGCGTGGCACACGGAAGGAGCGGACAATCGGGGCAGGACACATTGTTTTGTTTTTTTTTTACTTTACATTGTTTGGATACATTTATTTTCTTACTTTACAAATGACTGTTTTGATAAATGTGCTTAGATGTGTTTAGTACAGTAGCTCTTCTTGTTTTATCCGGTACATTTTAAATGCTAAAAAAAGAACATTTAGGTGTAATTTTTTGGGGGGCCGGGAACCAATTAATTGGTTTTCCATTATTTCTTATGGGGAAAATTCGATCAGAACTCGAACTTTTTAGGATTCGATCTGGAGTTCTGAACGGATTAAGTTCGAGTTCTGAGGTACCACTGTGTGTGTGTGTGTGTGTGTGTGTGTGTATGTATATACATACACACACACACACACACTACATAACGGATTTCCATCCATTTTGTTTAATCTCAAATGTGAATTACCAGTGAAAATCATGGTATCTGTCTAAATTAAAACTAAAAGCTGCCAGAAAGGCTTTTGTTGAGACCACAGGCACAATCATATGAATGTAATACTACCACTTAAACCAAGTGCACCTACACATAGATTTGGGTCGTATTACAGTAATAAGGACAAAATTAGGTGAGCAGGGTTCAGTTTAGCAAAATTTATCATGAGAATTATGTTGGAGGGCATCCCTAATTTATAGAGTGTATAGGAATTTTTGGTTTTTGAAAGTTATGTGTTGTGCCTCAAGCGCTCAGTGTTGATATGATTAATCCCTGGGTCACAGGAATCAAACCCCCACAATTCAGTAGTTTTGAATACATTCATTGTCTAAATATTCTGAAATGTATATGTTACATAAGTGATGAAGCCTTGAAGTTATGTATGGACAGCTGGTTGAATATTGAATGAGGATGCAGGCATCTAAATAAATATGAAAATTTTGTATAAAGTTAAACTTTGTCTAACATCTACCATAAAATCTGAATTTTTAAAATATTATTTTTATTTATTATGTACTCTGGACTGGACTGGCAATCAGTAATAACGGGCATTTTTCCAGTGGGCCCGTGGGTATGTGGACCTGCAGAATTTATATTTATCATGAGGGGCCGCAATGCCCAGGGGCGAGTTTTAATCCCGGCAACTATGGAGTTAAAAGCCGTTTTTTCCCATACAGGCCGAGCAGGAAAGGGGAGGAGTATGATGTCAGCGGGGAGTAGGAATTTCCTCCCGCAGCCAATCGGGGAGTGGCGTTACCGGCCTGTGTATTTTTTAATCTTAACGGCCGGGGCGGGGCGCAGGCTGGATAGGCTGCGTCCGCTTCCTTTAGTTTGCTGCAACGTGGGAAAAGGGAGAGCGGGGCTTAAGAGGACACGTCGGCTATTTCTGTACAGACAGCTGTTTTACTGTAGATTGTGAGTGTACAGGTTCACTACAGACTTCCTCATCCAATATTTACATATCGTTAGATGTGAAATAAGTTTCAGAAGTTTTTTTTTAAATTATTTTACAGCGAGGTATTAAAGTTAAGTTTAGCGAGAGTAGTCGTGACGATGAGAGACGGCGGCGGCGAGGAACAGACCTCTTCCTTCGAGATGACGTGGGGCAGCACGACCAGCAGCGGCTACTGCAGCCAGGAGGACTCGGACTGCGAGTTCGAGCAGTACTTCACGGCGCGGACCTCCTTCATCCGCAAACCCAGGAAGGAGAGGGTGAGGCCGGCCAGCCCGCCCGACGACTTTAAGCGGGGCCGAGGGCCGTTATTTAACGGGCGCCTGTCAGTCAGCGTTTTGGGGCTCGTGTGTCGGCTGTTTAACCAGATACGTTAAATAAAACTAAACACCACTGTTATTGAAAGAACAATTAATGGAAAATAAACTTCGCGGCCGTAAGTAAATGTCAGTATCACATCGGGGTATGATTTTTTTCCCCCCGACTCCGCGCCGGTTATTACTATTTTTTTTACTCTTGCCCATTCAGCATAATTTATTTAACATGAAGGACTTAAAACATTGAATCGTAAGCCTGACTAAGATCGCCAATAGTATCCAAACGAGTTCAGCTACATTCAGAGTACAGTCTAATTAGCTTTTAACCGACGTTTTAAAACAACTTACAGGGCGATGGCTTTGCAGTGGGGATGAATTACTCTGGAAACGAAAACCTCCCTTTTATAGTACATTCACTCCCTTTTTTCACATAGCCCTTGCCAAGCAAATAACACGTTTTTTGTTTCGTTTCGATTATATTTAATAGCCTGGTTTTTTTTTTATCGTCTGCCCGGAGCCACTGAGCAGTGAAGTATAATTGCACTGCTTTGTTGTAATGTTTTCCAGTTTATATGTTTTCTTTTCCACAAAGTGTTTGGAAATAATGACCTTGACTTGAGGTTTGGGTCTCACATTTGTTTCTGAGTAAACTAAAGAATTAAGTACTTTTCGAAATTCCCTAAAACCAGTAGAGGTAAATTAAGTTTCCAGTTTTAACTGTCAACTAATTTGCGCAGACCTACTCATGAATATCCACGGTATTCAGTTTTGCATTGAGTTGAAGGTGATCCATACTTAAGAAGTTTCTGTTCAGTCAGACATCATGGTGTTCATATGTGATTCATTGATTACTTTTTAATCACTAGACATTGTGAACCTGACTTGACCTGATACAGACACATTTAGTTGCAGAGTACTTTAATAACCTTGACTGATCAAATCCCTGGTAATCGATTTATGCTCCCTAATTTCTATCTATTAGGGATAGGGGGCAGCATACAGTGTGGAACTTCTGTTCCACCTTATTATTTGCCAATCACACAGAATGCAGGAGTAACTCTTGCCCTCTTTTTTGTGTGTTGTAAGTGTGCTGGGCTTTGATTGTAGGCATCGTTAAATCAGTTTGTTTGGCCTGATTAAACATCTGAGGGGGTGTGTGGCTGCCTCAATGTATTTTCCTGTGACAAATGAGCCTCACTGTGACACCATTGTCTGGGTAAACCCCACGGGCCGAGGGCTTCTTAATGGTGAGAGGCTGATTGTCATGTCCTGCACTCGAGAATCCTTCTCTTATTGGGAACAGGCATGTGTGACTCTTTCGTCCATAATTTTTACAGGAAAAGTTGTTGCATCTTGTTATAGAGAAATTCTGAGTGCCTTCAGATGAAGGAATAAATATGAAAGTGGAAGTAGTACCCCTATTAAATAGTAACAGACAGCCAAGACCTGCTAGATGTCCAAAACAGACCAAGCTCAGCCCAGTGTTTGAATTTTTGGGGAAAACCCTAGACATCCTATGTCATGTGGTGGAAGCCTTTCAGTTTAGAAATGTACGTTCAGAAACTATGCTTCACTGGCTGAAATTATTCAGAGAGATATCCCTGAACTATCTACAAGACTAAGAAGAAAAAAGACACTCTGCTGCCCTTGAAATCATAGGTTTGTCCTCAGGCACAGCTTTGCTGGTTAATGGTCACTTCTGTTTCCTGCTTCCTTTTTCTTTTAGGAAACTGACCATTCCTTTTCTTGGCATGTGACTATGCTTTGTGTCCCGAGTGGAAGAGACACATCAGTGTTGTTTCATGTGAAATGTTTAGCGCAGAATTTCTGTTTCTGGGACTATTAAAATGATAAAAGGTATATTTTTGAAGGAGCATTTGAAAACAATGCTTGTTGTATTCAAGTCTGAAGTTAAAAATAGCGTTGGTGTGTGTGTTATGCATACTGAATTTACAGCTGATTTTTATGCTCATACTGAATAGCTTTTGTCTCTACTTGCCTACGTTTTCCCACCTACAGCAGCCAGTGGCCTTAAAGTCCCTCATGCGTTGCAAATGACCTGCTTATCAAAGATGCCCAGGCTGGCCTGCCAACACATTCTAGCATTTTAAAAAAATCTAGAGCTCTCTTGCCTGGAATCTTTCTTCCCACCTACATTCATGCTGTCTCTCCAGTCATTTTCAGTGGTGACTGACGATTCTGTTAGTTCTTTATTTATTTTGCATTCTTTCCATTGTGTAGTTGTTCCGGGTTTGCAATGTTTCATGATTCTGGGCTTACATTTTCCACCAGTTTTAGATATGGAACTTAACAATGTCATTTGATTTGTGTCCTTTTGGTAGTCAGTTTATTTAGATTTTGCAACCAAAATAGTTATTCATAGACATTCTGATATTTAAAATTTTGGGGTTTTATAGATGTGATCAGAACCTTTATTAGGTTGTGATATCTATGCTTACTTTTGCAGGATAACATGACTGTAATTGTTTTACTCTGCTGGCAGTAAGCTTGTTGGATACCATGTATTTATCAAAAAAGGAGATTATGTGCTGTGTGGAAGAGAGAGGTGTTTAAATGAAAAACAGGGTTTCTGTGTGTAGACGGCAGGAGAGTTTCGCTCATCTCTATCTCAGACGAGATGGAATCACCTGGTTGTTGTTCTTTGAGAGGAGGCATTTTGAATCTCTTCTCCAACATTCCCAGGAAGAGCAGTCCTTCCTCTGGTTCCTCCTGTGCAGGGCTGGAGTTCAGAAGGTCGGGGACTGGCTAGTGGGAAGGAAATGCAGTTCCACCCTTTTGGACAGAACTCCCTTGGAAGGGTGTGGAGAGAATGCACGTATGTTCCTGACCTCTGCTCACCTGGATGTCTGTAGGTTGGTGGAGGGGGGCTGTGCTCAGTGAGGCCTGACACCATTGTGCTGAGCCACCTTTCAGAGCTTTTGTAACATGAAGGGGGAAAAGCAATGCATTTGTACTGTAATATGCCCAAATATTTTATATCCATAGTTCATTTTGTTGCCACTGGTAAAGCAGAGTTCATTTTGTACTACTTCATTGTAGATGTGCTGTAATGTGAGGTAATATTTAATGAACATTTAATATTTAATGAACATGATTAAAGGTCATGGAAAGTAATATTCACTAACATAAAATATCACCACTAGTAATATGTTATGTCAGGAATGTCATGCATTCTGACTAGTCAGATAATAAGGATTGATCCCAGTGGGCACTCAAACTGTAGCTAGAGTATGTTTCTTTAAGACAGCCTGCTGTGTGTCACTGATGACAGTGGCTCCCATGCACACAGTGCCAGTAAAACACTGGAAAGCATTGTGGCTGCTTCTGGTGAGACAGCATATGAGTAGCTATTTTTATATGAACACAGTGCTTTGGAATGCAGACCAAGGAAACCTCAAACCCAGCCCAGAGAGCAAGGCTTTCCACTCGGCGCCACCTCCTTGGTGGTGGGGAGATGGAACGAGGAACTCCATTGGGTGCCAGTGATGTCATGATGACTTCCTGTTGGGCAGTGCTTGATGGTGTAAAGTCTGATGCAATGGGGGTGCATAACAGTTGTGACAAGCCAAAGGAGGCTGAGGATTGAACTGTAAGCAAGCAGCACTAGATCTTATCGCCATGAAGTAAACAGTTTGTGGAAATTGCTGTACAAAGGCCACAGGCAGTAGTGAAACAAGTTCCCATGATAAACATAATTTGTCTCAAAATGGCTGCCCAACAATTCACCACTTTAAATTAACCAGAGAATTGACTTGTACCTCTGAGCTTAAAAGCTGCATTTTTTGTTTGTTTTTGGGAGATTCGTCCCGTGAACCCATCTGCTGCTCCAAGGTGAGCAGGCTGTGACCACTTCTCAGTAACTGACATCTAGTTGCAGTTGTGTGTAGTCATTTATGCTGCCTGGGCCATTGACTACAGTACCGCTATTATTAGCTTTGTTCCCTTCACTGAAGCCCTGCTGCACCGAGCTTGACACCCGTTGGTACATAACTGTGATCAAACACCTTAATGACATTTTATGCTGATGGCTTTGCTTTTGCAGTGACCCTCATGCACCCCATAGGAAAATTCCATTGACATGAAAGGCAAAGGAGCACATTTATGATGACGTCAGGATGTCATGCAGAGTAAATCAGATGCGCTGAAATATTTTGCATTGCCTTTAAGTGCAGATAAATTTATTGCTCTGCATTAATATGAGAAAGCTGTTTAACTGTTTGCTAATGTATGAGCCCTACATACTCTAATAGTAATGGCTTGGTTTTTCATCCGAGGGTGTTCAGCTTTATTGGGAGAGCAGCAGTTTGTAACCTGTGCTCAAGTTCAATGCTGCAAACAGGGCAAGCGCTTGGTAATTGCCCTGCCGACTGTAGCTTGTACTGGATAAGTGAAGTGGAAAAAGCAGCATGTGACATAGAATGACCAGAACACTAGGAGCATTGTCTGTCCTTTCAGTCCTCTTTACTGTGCCCATATTGCATGGGTATAAGATTTCCTCCCAGTGTCTCTTCAACTGTTAACAGATATTATAAAATCTAACTAAAAATACTGTAATTATAGGTCATTTAAATGTGTAGACAGTCATATTTTCTGTTGTTCATGGTATACTCAAAGGCAGGGACAACACATTTTGATGGATTCTTCATCACTTTTACTAGTACTCCAGATTGACTATTCAGTAGAAAAATCATTCTAAACTAATGTTGTCGACCCATTATAAGCCTGCACCCAGTTGAACTACTTGCAAATCTTCAAGTTTTTTCCCCTCACAAACTGCTGCCTCACACGACTGGAGCTGTTTTGAGATTGTAAAACCACTAATAGTTATACTTCCATAACTGTATGAAGCTTTATATACTTAATTTTCCCTCTGATACTTTGGGTTTTGTGTATCTCTGGCACTGTTACTTCTCTGGCCCACATGCACATTGCTTTGTGATGGACAGCTGGTGCTCTGTGTCAGAGGGCTGTACAGTGGAATTGGCTGGATGTGTGTGCTAGTTACTCTAGAATTATACATGAAAAAGCAGCTGTGACCTTCCTCAGCAAAGAGCCTGATCTAATACGTCCAAAAAATGTAACCTTTCTGTGCAAGGATGTGCTGTTTCTGTGTAATGTACAGGACCTTGGATTCTGAAGAATGGGGGGGGGTGATATTGTTTTCTTAGAGATGAGTGTCTTGGATCTCTAATATTAGAAATGTCTGTTTTGGGTAGATTGTTTCCTTTTCCCACCTTTAACCTCTCCTAATGGAGGCCATGGGGGGTATAAACTTGCTCTTTGCAAGCGATGATGGGGGAATTGTGAAATGGAGGCCCAGCCAGACTCCTTCCCTCAGCCCCCCGAAACATTAATAAGCCACGAGGAAGTTCTAGGGGCTCATGCTAAATGCGTCTGACACGTGATCTTAAAGGCTATGAAGAAAGGCCTTGTTTCTGTTAGCAGGTTCTTGTGTGATAAGTGTTGTATCTGCTCACGACCTGGCCTTCTGGCTCGTGTCCCAGAATAAAGTTAGCGGGGAGGGACTGTTGTCCTGGGGGGGGGTCCTCCTCCCAGTCACATTTCAGCAGGGGTTGTAATCCCTTGAGGCAATGACCCCAACATTTGCTATGTAAACTTCTCACTGGATTAAAATAGAACTAGAACTCATGTGACTGCATCATGAGCCCTCATCACAGCATTAGGTTTTTTTGTTTTCTTTTCCACCCTCTTAGATCAGGGCCATGTGTACTTATTTGGTTCTGCTCTGCCATAGAGGCCATAATTTAACAAGTATATATTGAACAGTTTGCATTACTAATTGTAAGCTATACATTGTTAGTTTAGTATGTCAGGTCTTCCTGTTTACAAAAATTAGTCGGATTCTCTCAGTCTGTTATCAAGTACTAAGCCTACCTACATTTGCTTGCCATCTTCTGGCTAGTTTCACACAAATACTAATGCAAGTAAAACTAGCATAGAGTTGCTGCTAACATATTGTGGTGAAGCGGAGTTCTAATGTAATCTGGTTTTTAAAAGAAATCTTTGCTGACATCTAGTGGTGGTAAAAAATGGCACATTTATCTTGTGTAACCTTGATTTATGAATTTTCTGCAGGATGAACAGGTTGAGTGGGGAAAGCAGGAGCTGTCTGTCAGCGAGATTGAGCAGAAGGTGAAGGAGTATAACGCTCAGATCAACAGTAACCTCTTCATGGCACTGGTGAGGACTTGTACACAGTTGTCGATGTTCTGTAACGCTCCGCTGAACAGACTTCCAATGTTTATACTTTGGGTGCAATAAGACCGTCGTCTTTACAGAACAAAGATGGCTCCTACACTGGCTTCATCAAGGTCCACTTCAAACTGATACGACCCGTGTCGGTTCCCCCGCCCCGAAAGATGGCTGCATCACAGGATGGGGGTCGTCGGGGCACGTGTGTGAAGCGGCGCACCTCATTCTACCTTCCCAAGGACACGGCCAAGCACTTGCATATTAGCTCACGCACCCGTGCCCGAGAGGTGATCGAAGCACTGCTGAACAAGTTTACCGTGGTGGACAACCCCCGCAAGTTTGCCTTATTTGAACGCAGTGAGCGTCATGACCAGGGTGAGACCCAGTCACAGCTGTGCCCTTCTGTAGCCAGTCCATCATGCACACGCAAGAATACCTGTGTGTATTATTATTATTACTAATAATAATAATAATAATAATAATAATAATAATAATAATAATAATATTCCCTTGATTCAACTTGAAGATCCCACTGATCAATTCTAAGAGAAAAGATAGCGTCTAAAGATAACGTACCTTTATAATTGTTGTGCACAGTATAATATTTTAAACTACCTATCCAACTTGTGTTGGTATGGAAAGTTGAGGTTACTGATGTCTGTCGACCCACCCCCTCACAGTGTACTTGCGGAAGCTGGCAGATGACGAGCGCCCCCTTCAGCTGCGGCTGTGTGCGGGACCCAGTGAAAAGGTCCTCAGCTTGGTGCTGAAGGAAAATGAGACAGGGGAGGTCAACGTGAGTAGTCTGCTTTTTATTTATCAAATCCACTCCCAAGTAGAGACCAGAAACTAAGATTTTAATGTTTAGAACGACTGAACAGAATAATTGCCAAATTTTCTTTGTTTTAATCACTGATTGACAGGAACTGTTCTCAAGTTATGAGCTGGATTTCTCAGTCTAAACATTAATTCATGTATTTCTGATATAATCTTGAAAATGTAAACATTTAGAATATACCAAATTAATTACCATTCTCTTGCTTTGTTTGCAGTGGGATGCCTTCTCCATGCCGGAGTTGCACAATTTCTTGCGTATCTTAAAGCGTGAGGAGGAAGAGCATGTCAAGCAGATCGTGCAGCGCTATGCCCATGCACGAGACAAGATGCTAGAGGCGCTGACCAGCAGCACTCCAGGCTGAGATCGGGGTTCTGTGGCATGTAGTTCTGACCAGTAGCCTTATAGGGCTACTTGTCGCCCAGTGAAATCAAAGATCTGCCTGAAAGTGTTTGAGGACAAGATGCAAAGCTATCGTGCTGGTGGTCCTCTGAGAGCGAGCGAGAGTGAGAAAGTGCAGCGCAAACCTTGAAGTGCCTTCGACCTGGAGAGAGTGAGTTATGCTTGTGTGGAAAAACGAGCGAGAGAGAGCGCGCAAGAATTCACAGAACAGCCATGTCCAGTTGTGCAAGCCTTGCTAGACTTACTCACAAATGTATTCACACTTCCAGCTGTACACATGGTGCTGAAGGCACCTGTGTCTGCACAGAGGGGACACAAGTGTTGTAAGTTATGAAGGGTTGTTGCTGCTGTTGATATGTCGGCTGTTCTTGTCATCCCCCTATTCTTCCACTTCCCCTATGAGTCATTGAGTGGAAATTAAACTTGTTTTGAATGGTGAGGAAAGTCTGATTGAATCCTGCTGATGGTGATTGACAGAATGATTGTGAACTTTTAAACCAGTGTGCCCAGCCGGCATTTCAATGATTATTCAAAAATTAATCAACGTCATGGATCAAGGTTCAGTCACTGTTAAATTTTGTTTTGAAAATTGCCTCAGCGTTGATATTATGATAATAAAATGCTAATAAAATAATGTTGATCATAATTTAAAAGGCAGAATGTTTTTGCATGTTGATTCAACGTACAGGTCTTATTAAAATTTGTGTTCCTTTGTAAAACCATTAGCATTAAACATATCAACGTTGAAGATTGATCGCATTCTGGCTGGGTGGCCTGGAACAACTGGGGTAATCGGAAATTAGGTTTTTATATACACCCTGGACATTACCAGACTGATAACTAGTGCTCTTTACTGCCATGTGGGGGAAGAAGGCTGTTTTGCCCTTTTTAAAATGAAAGGGTGGAACAGTTAAGCATGGTAGATTTAATACTTTATGTACTTCATATTATGTGTATTTTTGTTGTCTTTAGTCAACTAAGAGCATTTGTGTTTTTCTGCCCTCAATAAATATGACAGTGCCTTTTCTGTTTACCATCTTGTATTCAGCCATGTATTTGCAGCTGTTCCTTGAAGGTTCTTCTAAAAACAGTGTCAAATTTGACAATGCAAAATAAATGATTCCCTCACAGAAGACTTTGGAACTTTCATTTGTAATCAGAAGGTGACACACTATTGTTAAAGATGCTTAGTACTAGTCTGTATAAACAGGCATGTCCTCACACATCCTAACAGCTCAACTTGTGTTCGCTCAGTGTAGACCATGTAGCAGGTGTATCACTGCAAGTAAGATTTCAATTTGTTACTGGAACACAATTCTGAATAGTACATCTGTTCTTTTCTCCATGTCCAACTGATATTTTTATTATGTACACAAAAAGATTGCCAATTATGAAATTGCATGATGGAGAACAAAACTTGCTGTCATTTATTCTAAAGATTTCCCTAGAATATGTAATGGAAGCTTTGATAAACTAAGTTTTAATTTATAACAGCTGTCCTTGAGCTGAAAATGTAATAACGTAAAGTAGATGACACAGGGCAACATTTTGAGTGATATTGCCAGGCAATTGCCAATCCGATGAGACAAAGGGCAACTAATTTGGATTTAGATAATTGTGAAAAGTTGCCCACTGCCAATCAAAGTTTTTCAACTAGAAACGTTACCCGATATCTATGGGAAGGTGACTGAGCAACACTGGTCGGCAACATTGCTCAAGAGGTTGCCCTTTGTATAATCACCCTTACACATTGTCTATATTCTGAATGATGTCCCTTTGCTCAAGAAGGTATGCTTCAGAGGCCATAATGACTACAGATCAGCGGCACTGACGTCTCATTTAATGAAGACAATTGAGAAGCTGCTCCTCCAGCTAATCAGACCTATCAAGAATGACATCCTAGACCCACTACTCTCTGCAATCCAGGCACACATAGGTATGGAAGATGTTACTCTGCACCTGCTTCAAAGTGTCTTCTTATATCCGTTAAAGTTGTGGAAATCACTCCAAATGGGAATCACGGTTGCTTCACACCTTCTCAGTTGGAGATACAACTCTCACCTCCACTCAGTGTGCAGGGAATTTGCACGTTTTCCTTGTGTTGTGCAGTTCTCTCCACAGTACATATATACGTGATTAGGTTAACTGGCATTTGTTGATGTGCGCTCATTTATCATTTGGTTGGTGGTTATTATGCTGGAAGTTACTTATTTTTATGCCTCTTAACAACAAAAATGTCCCTCCGGGAACAATAAAGTTTTATTTTAAGTAAGGAAACGAACACAGATAAATGTCCTACCTCAGCTTGCTTACAAAAACAGGTTAATTTATATAGATTACTATGAGGGAAACAGACAGATTATAGATATAAAAAATGAACCAAAACGCAAATATATTCACGAGATATATTTTGGAGTGTATATATATGATATTATGGTCATGTGATCGGACGATGACAACGACCGCAGGAAGTGACGTTTTCCTACGGAAAACTAGCCGTTTGGTAGCACAAACTACCTGGATGGAAGGTTTCTGCGTTTCGTTTGGAGGATATTTACCATTAATCACTAATTACTTAAGACTTGTTTTAAAATCGAAGGAGTGACGTATTTAATGAACACCAGAAAGTGACATGGGTATGTGTCATGGAAGCAGTTGCATCATTTGCAGTTAACCACAGGATTGTAGTCTGTAATGCTGAGCAGCGTTACGTTGTTTGGCATGCTTTGGGGCATGGGCCTGACTCAGCCAGCCCAAAGAGCAAAAATTCTCAGAGTTCCTGTTGTTTCGGTATTATGGAAAAAAATAATGCTCTTGAGCAGTGTCCAAAAATGATCGCTATGACAGGTGCAATCGAACAGCTGAGTTGTATAGGTAGATGGCTAGTCAAAGCTTCCATATTTGCATACACAAATATAATCTGCAGATGTGACGTGTTATCCGAATAGCAGACGGTAGGTGTACCTGGATGCAGGTTTGGTGGCCGGAATTCTCATGGAGTTGTCTAAAGCTAGTGCCCCGAATTAATGTTTAACACCGGGCTGTATGGTGGCAAGTGGTGACATGATAAATTATGTGAACATTTCAAAGGAAACCTTTGAAATAATCGTTTAATTTTTGGCATAATTTCTATTGCGGAGATCCCTCCGCAGAACGCAGAATTAGTAATTTAGCCGTATACCTACCCGATGTAAACACAACATCGCATTTAAAGATGCTGCATTATCTAAGCCATGCAGCACATGGCCAGCATGCACGCCTGTCATTGTAGTTGCATATGGGCTATTTATGGCTGTGGCCTGTCATGTAAAGTCTTCCACATTTGCAGGTTTTCATCATATTTTTGTTTGTTTCTTTCTACAGGTTCGGGCTTTTATTTAAGTACTTTTTGTCTGGAATAACTCGGGAGTAATTGTTTTGGAGCCTTCCGGAAAATAAGCTATGTTCCGGTGCTGAGGATGGGAGGTAACAGTTCCAAGTCAAAGGGCCTGTGGCCTTTTGCCGGTTCGGGTTCGGGTTCTGATCCAGCCGGCGAAGGGAGTGATCAGTCTCTGGCAAGGCTGCGTGGGTTGCGGAGTGCCACGCCCTTCGTATTTACGCGGAGGAGGTAAATATAGTCTTGAGAATGATATGCTTTTAAAATTTAATGCTTTCCAGTACTGTAGTTTGACAAAAAAAAATCCTTGTACATCAATTTCTCGACAATGTTATACATTTTCCACCAGATTTATTACAATATTACTGTAATCTTGCTATTAATGGTATAATTTGACTCCTTTGAAGAGTGGTAGTTGAGTAATGGCCAACATCATACAAAAAATACTAAATAAATATAAATGTTTGACAGAGAGCCAGCTGGAAAATTAAAAGATTATATGATATCCTATGAAATGCCAGGTGATTTGAGTAGTAAAGGAAATTTATTAATGATGTAATAGCAAGCATTTATCGTGTTGTAGTATTGTGGGCTTGTGTACCTGCTAACTTTGATGTGTCTAGCTCGTTGTACTACGATGAAGATGGTGACCTGGCCCATGAATTCTATGAGGAGACAGTAGTGACTAAGAATGGTCGGAAAAGGGCCAAACTGAAGAGGATTCAGAAGAATCTGATACCTCAGGTGGGATGGAAGATCTTTTTTGCAGTTATTTTTAAAAATGTGTTTTAGGATAGTATGATTTTTGCATGAAAAAAAAGTTTTGTAGACATATAGGCAAGGCTTTTGTGTGTCATTGGCTTTGTATTTTTATTTTTTTGTTTTTTATATTCATGTGCCTTATGTTTGTCAGGGAATTGTGAAGCTTGATCACCCCCGGATTCACGTGGATTACCCAGTTATCCTCTGTGAAGTGTGATGGACAGCTGCCACAACAGGCCGCGGCCAGCACTCTAATAATTTCGTCCAAGTCTTCTCCACGAAGCCCTACCGACCTCCAATGTCCCATACTGGATTTTCATTCTCACGAGTGGTGTTTCTTTGGAATGTGTTAACAGCGCCCACTTGTGGACAGCTGGGCCCATGGCGGGTTGAGTGGCTGCTGCTGCCACCAAGCTTTGTGAGAAATGTTTGACTACATCCCTTGTGGAGGTGCATTGCCAGCTGATTGGCTGAAGTTATTTTTCCATCTCTTTGATAGGGGGGTGATAAGTTAGCAGTCCAACACGTACATAGACACTCATGGTATGGGTATTCGTAATTCCCATTTTGTTCTTTGCATCGATAAAGGTGATGAAAGCCTCACTGCAGTACTTCTCAGTTTATTATTAGACCCGTGTATTTGAAATGTCAAAATTAATGATGTTACAAAGGCAAACGTAGTACATATTGCTTGGAGGTAACAAAACTTGAATATATTATCCATTCAGTGTGTTAATTTGAAACTTCCCTAGTTTTTTAACAATGAATCCTTGGAGTTTTGAGATTTGGGAAGGTGTCATGTAACACTTCCTGAAAACGGAGGTGTGTTATTTACCAATGTTATTTATCTAGGTGGTTTGGGGGCGTAAGCGGTACATAGCTGCAAGCTATGGCATGGAAGATTTTTTTAATCTCAATTATAGATGTATAACTATGGAGTTATGAAATTATATTGTCATATAATTTATGGTCTTTTGCTCATTCTGCACTACAGCCCAGTAGAAAACAATTGTAGTTATCTAGATACAAGTCATTGAGACTGGCTACCTTAAATTGAATACTGTTAGTTCATTAGTTAGCATGAAGGACAGGCGAATGACAAAGTATCATGTTTAAAATCAACACGGGAAAATTTGTGTTTTGTTTGCACTGTTTCCACCAGTAGATAACCTGAATAGACTGAATTATGCAAACCCCTCATATCTCCCTTCTGTATGTTTTATTCTGGAAGTCGCTTTACATATCGCTCATGATTCAGATTTCTGCTTGCAGATCGGTCAGATGGCAGATTAAATAAGATGTTGTTTTATTTCCTTGATAGACATATTTGCCTATTTATATGACATAACATATCACTGATGCAGTTCAGCTGAAATGTCTTCATTTCAGGTGCAGGACCCTTATGGGACTTAGCTTGTTACCTTGTGGTGAGTCCCTGAACTAAATTGTTTAGTTCCTTAAGCACTTTGTTTATCACGATACATTATCCAGAATTATGAATCACAGTCTATGTTAATGCATCTTACAGAGAGGGTTATTTTTAAGTTTATATATGTACGTGTTCTATAATTTATTTCGCATTCTTACAGATTTTTACAACTGGGTATTTAGAGGCACACTTACCCAAGTGGGGTTTCAACCAGTCATTTGTTTGTTTACTAGTTTCCTAATTTTGCTGCTGCCCAATGTACAGGGACATTCATTCTGCATTAATAAACTGCTTTGCAGGTATTTTTCATACCATGTGGCCTCATACCTGCTGTTTGACTCTCCAATTCTGCCCAAGTTGTGCTGTCAGTAACATTTTGGTAATGTCACCTTCATTGCTATACTGGGTGTATACTGGTGCACATTGTTCTGGTGGATGACAGTAGTTAGGCTATTCCCCTGATAGCAGCAGTGTGAGTTTGTTTCAACAGGCTCTCAAACTTGCAGAATCCTGGTCAGTTTCTACAGATTGTTGCATTATTAAGAAGAATGGAACTTCCAGTATGCAGTCTTTTCTCAGTTTTGTGATATTGACACTAAACTGGTTAAATCCTACTGAATGTTCCTGTGCATAATGTTTTAAATCTATTGCTGTTACCAACAACTTCATAAATTAAACCTTGCTGTGAAACTGCAAATAACCAACGTTCTAGCTATTTCTGGTAATGGGATATTGGTACATTTATATGAGTGGATGTGCTTTGGGAAGGAGCTTTACTGTGAATGAGGATGAATTAAAACGGCTGTCGTTTCCGCTGTTTGTGTGTCTTGCAGGGACGGACAGGGCTCCCTAACCTTCTGCAGCCTGCTGGTCTCTCTGACTCCCTCATATGTCATATCAGTTAGGTCTCTGTCCTCACACCCATGCTTCATCCCCACAGTTTTGGGAGGACGCACCACATAGGACAGAGCTAGCTGCAAAAAGAGGTTGATTTGAATGGGTCTGCAGTTTCCTTCTACCTTGGAAGGGCAAGTTTTTAAGAGAAACCAAGGATCACTTTTTGAGTTACACTCTGTGATAAATGTTTAGTAAAAAAGCTCAGTGCTGCTTCTCATGCTGGGATAGTTGCACAGTCTGTGGATGAGACACTATTTTAGGGCAGGCAGCGTAGCAGCCTGCTAACTATTTAAAGAAATATTGCATAAGTGCACCAAATGGTTTAAAGGACAGATTCTGTATTTGAAGTTATATCTATACTAATCTGTGAATGTGCTTAATTCAGATCATTAGCCTACAGGCACAGCAGTGCCTCTTTGCATGATTTCCATAGCTCCTGGATTATTTTAATGCCTTTTAGCTATACATTCATCACAAAGCAGAGTACATCAGGCAAAATGCGGGTTGATGTTAAAGCCAAACTGTTAAATACTTCAGGTTTTGATGTTTTATTCTTTTTGGACCAGTTAAATTGTTTTTCAAAGTAATGCTTTCAAAATTGTAATTGTTTAATAGCATTAAAATGTTGACACTGGCTCAGAAGGAAGCCTGTGATATAGGGAAATCGCTTAACTGTTTGGCTGCTTTGTCAGTAATGTGACCGTTTGAGACGGTATCCAAGACGTCCGTATTAGTTGTCGGTATGTCTGTGTAGAGGTCCTTTTGTGTTGGGAGACATTGAGACAATGTGAGAGATTTTTTCTCTCAGAGAGGGTGTTTTTTCACTCCTAATTAAACATCCTTTTAGATGGTGTAAAGTTTATTCCCGCCTTGTACATTTGTTTTTGTTCCTTTGTTGCCAGTCAGAAGTTGTGGTTCATTCAGATGGTATTGGCAGCCTTAATGTTTATTAAGATCACAGGTTCCTACTGCTGTTTTCCATGCTGGAGTTGGTGTGATTTCCTGTTAGGTGCCCTGGTCAGTATAGTGGAAGATGTGAGGCTCATTGGTCTACATTCTGTTGTCAGCATTTTCTCTTTGTTGTGGCTAAAGTTTGAAAACAGATCTTAGTAGCATGGTATTGGATTTATATGTATGCAAGTGTTATTAAACGCTAATTAAATTCCTGAATTATGCAATACTAATGGGATTTTTTGCTGAGTAAAAAGGGATTAAGTGAGTTTTGTGTGCTGGTTTATAGGACTTGCCAAAAATCACTGATCTTTAAAACTTTTCTTCTACAAATACCCGCATTCAGTTGTTACAATTGAAGTCTTGCTGTTGTTTGTTCAGCTGCATTTCTGTGCATTTTTTTTGCTGGTTTCCCTTGTTCTGATGCAGATGGTTTAACACATTTTGTCCTGGTGATTTTGGTATCTGCAATTTCTTTTCAGATCCAAAGTTTAAGAACAAGACTTGACAAATTATATTCAGCAAAGCAAGGGACACTAAATACAGCCTGTGTAAAATGCTGTAAAATCATGTCATGATAAATGTTAGCAGATGGCCTTGGGTAATTATACTGTGACTTCATTTACCAGTTTCCTTCTTTTCATAGAGGGGCCCACTGCTCACAGTATGTGAGAGCAGTTAGCACACTTATTTATGACCTGCTTGGCATGAAGATGAAGACTTCTGCATCCACTGTGATATTAGTGCTTATGTTAGCTTGGGTGGTTTTTTCACTGAAGTGAGCATTGGAAGGGTTGCTCGTGAGAATGGTTCATTGTGGAAGGAAGAAACTGCACAGTTTGCTACGTTGTAGTCAGCATCTTCCCTTTTTGGTTACTATGAGAGTAAGCAAACTATCATTAACATTTGCATAACTATAAATGATGAGTATTGTGGTGTTTGCAATAGAGTGCGAATCTGCAGCCTTTCTCATTGAAAAGTTGCTTAGACCAAGCTGACCTACCCTCTCTGCTGATGCTCCTTATCCAAGAATGTTGGAGACCTATTTTGCCTGATAATGCTGGAGAAATATTATGCAAGAACTTGACTGAACTGGAAAAACAACACAGCAATCCCTCGATTTACACTAATTTGTTTGTTTTTTTTTGCTTTGATACCGAAATTTCGATATCATCAACGTAACATTTTTCAGCCAAAGAATATACTAAAAATGGTACAAGCAGTGATTTTTTTTTTCAATGTGATGGTTCCAGGCAAACTTTGTGTGTAAAAAAAGAAAAAAAAAACAATGTATTACCCATCAGTTTCCTTGGCACAACAGTTTCCAGCCAAAGAATATCAAATGGAATAAATTTGTTGGTGAAACACGTTGCACGTAGATCCATATACAGTATAGGATGAACATGTTGTTTTTCAGTCTTTGTTCTACATTTGCATTGTTTAATATGTTTTATTGTGCTTTTATGTTCAGCCATAATTTCTAATTGATGTTATAAGCTTTTTATTGTGATATTTGGGGATAATTGGGTGCTTTGGGGTTGGAAAACAATTTTTCCAATTAAAAATAATGGAAATTGGTTTATATTTACTTTTATTGCAATTTTACATATGTTGTTGAACAAATTAATGTAAATCGAGGTAACACGGAAGGATCCACTTAGTGTCTTCATCAAGAGGAGTTTGTTGCAATGTTCCCAGGAGGACGAAAACATACTTCATTTTTGAATTTATGGTGTAAAGGGTGTTCTTGTGAATTTCACCTCTTTCAGGTCTCTGACATAATTAACTCTAATCAAACTACAGCATATTTGTCATTTGGATTAGAATAAATTCATGCCCCAGATGTGGATGGGAATTTAGACATGCAGTTTAGACAGTATCAAGCAAGCAAATTCTTGTCATCCTGTTGTATGGATACACACCTCATGTATGCATACATCCAAGTAAAAGTTTGTATATACACTATGTGTAGTACTGCCACTTTTGCACAGGTAGGGATGATATCAAGACATTTAAGTAGGCATTTTTTTAAGTGATAAATATTTTTTTAATTTTGTTTGTTGTCTTATTATTTTAAAATAAATTCAAATTAAATGTTTCCATATAGCCATGGTTTTATTTGTGAAATATGTTGTACGTATGAGAATGACATTGTGAGGGAGACATTGGCAGTGAGGGAGGGGGAGGCCCAGCCCTGATAACTTGGGGAAATGCTGGAATTTCCTTTGATCCTTGTGAAGGGTTTTAAGAGCATAATGTCTGGGCAGCTTTCTGCCAAAAACCCACCTTCATCCCCTGGGCCTATTTACTGCCTCTTTCAGTCTTACGACGTCCCTCCATTGTAATTTTACAGCCCTAGGAGAATAGTGTCCCACCTGATATACTTCCAAAGGCATACACTCCACTTGAACTGTTTTCCTGCCCCCCCCCCCCACAAATGGGTGTCCCCTACTCCTGATGCTCCGGACATCCGCAAAGACATGGAAAGTGTGACCCAGGGACGATTTTGCTGACGTCCACAGGACGTTTGACCCTCCTGGCCCAGTGTCTTCATGCGAAATAGAGGTCCATTGTCATCATGTGTGTCACTTTGTTAGCAGGGGGTAGAAAGTTCTAAGCTGTGAAGGGTGTAGGTTTTACCATTACTACAGCCTCGGTTTACCCCAGGCATGGAGAAATTATAATTTTGTGAAAACTATATTGGTGAAGAACATATTTTGTCATATTTTACATTGAATATTGTGAGACAGTCTGTGCTTTCACTGGAGGCTGGAGTTTATGTGGTTCAGTTAAAAATGCAGCTTGTCACTGGAGACTTAGCACGCCGTATCTCTCTTACAAAGTTCCTTTGGCTATCTACGTCTTTATTATTATTATTATTATTATTATTTTATTATGCTGGGCAGGGCCAGTACTCTTTTTTTTTTCTCTTTAATTTTTAATAAAGTATGAAAAATCCATCCTTTGCTCCCTCCCAGTTCCCTGCCAGACTGTCCACAAAAACGTGGACTGTCTGTGGGTCCCAGAGAACTGGATTGGGAAACACTGCACAATAGGAGTGCAGTGAACTTGGAGCCTGTAACAGTAAACATGGGGGGGGGTGGAGTTAAGAGATGCCCAATATGGGATTTCAGTAGCATGGGGGGTGAGTTGAGATGCCCAGTATGGGATATCAGTAGCACTGTTGTATTCAATACTGGATCTTTAAATGTGTAATAATTAAACATTTACTGGTCTGAATTCTAGTTTGAATACTTTTTACTGTAAATATACATATAATTCACACATAAGAAGGGTGTCATAATGACAGAAACAACCAGCACACAGCACATGTAGGCAGGGGGACCTTTTCCTACACACTGACTAGTGTAGCTGTAGCTACCAAGCAAGCTTAGAGAAAGGTCAGCAGCCTTGCTGATCCTTCTTTGGAGAGCCACATGGAACACAGCGCTGGCCTTCCCAGACCCGGAGGCGGTCCTATGTTTGGCTTCCTGTCCTCCCCGAAAGGCAGGAAGCGGAGGAAGGGAGTGCATAAGGGTAGGAGGGAAAGATAGGTGGCATTAGCCGGACATAACAGGCAATCTGAATAAGGCAAGCCACTGCCTGTGAAAGAGCCAATGGGCTGTGCCAGACAGGCTGGGTCCGCAATCGGCCTGGATCTCATGCATACTCAGGGTTCCTCAGATTTCTCCACAACTGCCAAAGAAACTTGATACTACACCTCAACATATAGAAGGGTGTTCATTCAGTCACTGTTTTGTAAGTATTGTTCATTTATCTGTATCGTTACAATTTAATATTTATGTGTTTGTATTGCACTTTTTCAAATCCTACTTTAGTTTTAGAAATATTTTTGGGAAGTAATCCTATTGATAACTCTGGAGATTGGTCATTGTGTCTGAAGGTAAGAATAATAAAGAATGTTGTTACAAAAATCTGAATACATTTGTCATATGCTAACATAGTACAAAAACCAAGGTAAGTAAAAAATTTATACTAGAGATGTCCTTTACATGTAACTACCCAGATAAGAGCCTTAGAACTCGCAGAAAGCATGCATTGCAATTCATGGATACTTTATTATGATAGTCAAATGTTCTTGCTTTTCAGTTCAAGGCTATTTTGTTAGTTGCATGCTTTTATCAGTCAATATATACCTACTTCATTCTAAGTAGAATAATGAATGTGTCTCATCCTTGTAAAAAATACAATGTATAATTCCAAAAGGAATCAGTTCATATAAGGAATCAGTTATTTCTAATAATTTCATGCTGTGGCCTAAGGAAAGGTTATTTGACCCCATTTAACTGGAGATTCTTTTAAACTGTTATCTATTTAGTGCTGCCTTTACATGCGAAAGCCATTTTCATTTGGCTTTTTGCTTTATCAGTCTTTGAGATTCCTCTGTGAGTGGATGCAATAATTTATGCAAATACAAACAGCATTGTGATAACTTGCTAGAATGTGTAACCAGTGATGTTAGATGCAGCTTCCGCTACACTAGCAGGAAGACTATTCCATACTCTAACTACACGCTGTCTAAAGAAGTGCTTCCTCAAATTTGTTTTAAAATGTTCTCCCGCTAATTTATGGCCACGAGTTCTAGTATTTAAACTAATATTGAAATAGCCATTTGGCTGAACAGCATCCAGACCCGTTAGAATCTTATATACCTGGATCATGTCCCCTCTTAGTCTCCTTTGCTCAAGGCTAAACAGATTCAGCTCAGCTAACCTCTCCTCATAAGACATTCCTCTAAGACCAGGAATCATTCTCGTAGCCCTCCGTTGCACCTTTTCTAAGGCAGCAATGTCCTTCTTAAGGTATGGTGACCAAACCTGCACACAATATTCTAGGTGGGGTCTTACCAAGGAATTATATAAATGTAATATCACCTTCCTCAATGAATATAACGACTTCAGTCCATCTTAGTCAGTCATGCCCTCCCACGGCACCAGCATATATCGAGTTGCCTTGAGGGGGCATAAAGTGAATTAGAAGCAGGCTGGGACATCGTTTTGACCTTCAAAGACTTCACCCAGTTGTGACATTGTTCTTATGCTGTGACATCACCTCTGGCTAGAAACCAGAGAACTCTGTCCTGATTTCCTTTTCCATCTCAATGGCATTGGCAGGTGGGTCACTAATACTTGTGCAAGAACAACAATTAAAATATAGTTCATAGTAGATTTACCAAACAGGAAGTCCTTCCACTGTGGTCTACAATTTGCCAAAAAGCATTTGCTCATTTCCTGCTTGTCATCTGCTTCTTGTCTTCCTCGTCATTTTTTGCAGATAACTTAGATTCTGTGGTGAGATATAATATAAACTGTATGGCAAAGTGACAATGCATGGCTTCACCAGAATAATTAATTCATCTATAAAACTCCTGTCACATTGCTTTGTTTTAACCGTATGTATGGAAAATATTAAGTGTTAAAATTGGTAACATGTCTATGGATTAACACGTCTTTCCCCTCAAAGCAACTGTAGGCTTTTTATTGATTAGATGTTTTTTCAATAGATTTTTTCTTTCAGTGTTCACAAAGGCACGTTCAATTAAATGTATGAGACAACGACTAAATTCAAAGTATTGTAATGAAGTGATTTATTTATTTGTGTGTGTGTGTGTGTGTGTGTGTGTGTGTGTGTGTGTGTGTGTGTGTGTGT